GCCACAGCACTCCAGTCTGGGCGACAGAGTGAGACTCCAACTCAAAAAAAAAAAAGAAAATCAAACAGGGAGTTGAAAGGGGTAAATGTGGGAGGCTAAGGCAAGTAGACTGCCTGAGCCCGCGGGTTTGAGACCAGCCTGGGGAACTTATCTCTACAATAAAAAATAAAAACTTAGCCAGGTGTGGTAGCACGCACATGTAGTTCTGGCTACTCGGAAGGCTGATGCAGAAGGATCACTGGAGCCCAGCAGGTCGACAGTGGGGTGGCTGTGAGTGTGCCACAGCATTCCAGTCTGGGCGACAGAGTGAGGCTCCGACTCACAAAAAAAGAAAGGGGTAAATGCAGTGGTGGTAGTTACCTATCATTCCCCTTCTTCTGGAAATTGATCATTCCTGCCATTTTCTTTCAGCTCCTGTTCTCTATATACTAATGGCTGGCCAGGTGGGAACCTGACCCATACTCAGAGTCCTTCCTAGGATTTCTGGTCTTGGGAACAACGATCAGAGTACTCAGTCTCTCTCTGATCTTGTCAGCCTAGGATCATCGGTGGTTCTGTTTCTAGATGTGAGGAAGAATCTGGCCAGACAGAATGACATTAACAGAATACTGGAGACAAGAGGTAGACAGAGTCCTGTGGCATCTCAGTCCTTGCTTCCAAATGTCCCCAAGGACATATCACTGTTAACCTTCTGCAGTGGAAGTACATAAGACATTAAATTCCTTCTGTCCCAAGCCAGTTGAGGTTGGGATTTTGTCACCTCCAAGTCCAAGATCTATTAAATAACATAAGAACTAACATTTACTGAACCCTTACTATACATCAGATATAATGTCTGTTACATAAGACTTCGCAATTATATTAGCTACACTTGCTTTCATTATCTTGTCTCTTTGCATTGCATCTTTACAAAACCCTTGTTAAGTATCATCTTCATTTATTGAATAAGGAAATATGACAGGTCTTCAATAAATATTAGTAGGAAGGGAGAGAAAGATTAAATAACTTGCCCAAGGTCACAGAACCAGAAAATGCTGATGTCACATTCCACACTAATGTCTACCAAATCCCCAAATGCATGCTTTTTCTGCGGGATGCTGGTACAAAAACCAGAGCTTTCAGACTGCAACTCTAACATCGTTTCCACTATGCCCATCACTTACGTAATTCTGTCACAGTCATGGCCTGCCTGTACTTGTTTAAATTTTTCTTTAAACCCACTTACACTTTTTAAAAATTTAAATAATTGCACTGTAAATAGCTACATTAAAGGAAAAACCAGGATTACTTACTATAATAGAAGATACCCTATACAATACTATGTACCTCTACCAACATAAACTGCTTCTCTGCTTAGTACCTTAAGTTATCTCACATACCAGTCATACATGTCATGCTTAAGAAAATGCTTGTACCTCACATCTTTAAAAAAAAAAAAAGTTTTACACGACAGTTTCTAAAGAGATAAGAAGATAACTAATATTTAACAAATGCTTAGTTTGAACCAAAAATTGCGCTGAGGTTTACATAGTTTATCTCTCATTTAATTTTTGCAAAAAAATCTTAAAAGTGTTATTATTATATCCATTTTAAGGATGAGGAAACAGAGGCTTAGAAAAGTTAACTTATCTAGGGTGGCAGAGCTAAAATTTGAACCGAGGACTTTCACAACAGAGCCTTATCTCCTAGCCACTATCCAAATCTGCATTCCAGTGAGATCAGTGATGTGCTGAAACTAAAAAGAGTCTCATCATATGAGGGGAACTACACACCAATTTTCAAAGAAAAATTTGAATTAAAAAATTACAGGATATTTAGGTTGCTAAGAGAGTACGAGGGGAAAAAATAATGCAAATAAGCACTCACTTAAGTGACTAAATCTAAGAGTTTATCCTTTGATAAACTGTTTCCAGAAGCCATTAAAATAATAATGTTAGTAATAGCCCTCATTTATTTTTATACACATATTATTGCCTTTTTTCCCTCATGAAAACCTTGGACCTTAGAGAAGTAAAACACTTCGCCAAGTAACATATTATCAAGTAAGAGAAGAACCAGCTTACAATTTTTTAACCATGCCACTTATCTTTTGTAGAAAGCACATCCAAGATTCTCCTAAATCTTAAAATCTGTTTGTTTACTTAAGATTCGGGGGTACACATGTGTATTTTTTTACATGGACATATTGCATGGTGGTGGGGATTGGGCTTCAGATGGCCCATCCCCCAGAAAGCGAACATCGTGCTCAGTAGGCAGTTTCCGAACCCTGAACTCCCTTCCCCTCCCTCGTTATTGGTGTCCCCAGTGTATTATCTCCATCTTTGTGACCGTTTAGCTCCCACATATGAGTGAGAACAGGTGGTGCTTGGTTTTCTGTTTCTGAGTCAGTTTACTTATGATGATCTCCAGCTTCATCCATGTTGCTGCAAAGGGCATGATTTCATTTCTTTTTTTAATGGCTGTGTAGGAATCCATAATGTATAAACAACACATTTTCATTATCTGCTGATCAGTTGATGGGCACTTAGATTGAGTCTGTATCATGGCAATTGTGAATTGTGCTGTGATAAACATAAGGGTGCAGGTGCTTTTTTTTTTTTTTTTTAATATAACGATCTCTGTTCCTTAGGGTAGATACCTAGTGGGATTGCTGGATCAAATGGTAGATCTACTTTTAGTTCTGAGTAATCTCCATACCACTTTCCATAGAGTGTATACTACTTTACACTCCCAACAACAGTATTTAAGCTTTCCCTTTTCTCTGCATCTACTATTTTTTTTATTTTATTTTTAAGAGTGGCCATTCTGATTGGTGTAAAGTGATATCTCATTGTGGTTTTAATTTGCATTTCCCTGATGAGTGATGTTGAACATAGTTTCATATGTATGTTGGCCATCTGTCTATCTTCTTTTGAGAGATGTCTGTTCATGCTGTTTGCCCACTTTTTAACAGGGTTATTTGTTTTTCTCTTGTTGATTTGTTTGAGTTCTTTGTAGATTCTGGACTTTAGTGTTTTGTCACATAAATAG